GGTGTGTGTTGGTTGGGGTTGGCTCGAGTGTGTTGGGGCGAGATTGTGCGGGTCCCAGACGCTCGAGAGTGGACCTGGCTAGGATAGGAGGAATATATGGCGTTGGGAGAAACGTCGATGGTGCGCGGGGTGAACGCGAGAATGGGCTGGAAGGTGTGCCAGGGGTGTTTTCCTATAGCAATGGAATTGGATGGAAAACAAATAATTAAAAGAATAACAATTGGAATAATTGTTCAAGTAATTTCAATATTATGATTTTTTAATGAAAATAAATTTGAAAATTTATTTAAGAATATATTTAAAATAATATAAATTGTTAATGTTGAAATTATATATAATAATTATTATATATATTATGGAATGAAATTGAAATTATTTGCATAAAAAGAATTTGATTCTTGAAATATAAATGTTAATCATGTAGAAATATTAATAAATTTAAATTTATTAATTTTAATAAAAGTAAATAACTTTATAATTGAAATTTAAATTCAATGCACTATTCTGGCACATAAAATTTTAATAAAATTGATTTAAAATTTAAATTTTTGAAATGTAGAGTAATTGTTAAAATTAATCTAGTATGGAATTTTTTTTTACTTTTTTAAGATGAATAAATGTGGTTACTTTTATTTTGAGAAAATATGAAATTCCTCAAGTTATATATTAAAACATTCTGTATGTATTATCGTCTATAAGTATTCAGTTATTCATTTTCAGTTGAAAGAAATAGAAAATATTATTGAAACAATATATATAAAATATACATATAAAATGTAATTGAAGTATGAAAGATAATGATAACTGAACAAAAATATAAAAATTGTTTAAAGCAATTGCAAAAGATATATAAATCAATTTTAAATAATTTATTAAAAAGTTATGGAATGAAATGGAATTCAGAAACAGTCTTGAAAAATATTTAGAAAGATATATTTTTCTATTGAAAAAATTTGTTGTTAGTGAACATATTAACAAAATAATTGAGAATTTAAATAAAAATGTAGCTATATAAATAACAAATTTTTAATTCAAATAATACAAATTAACAATTACTCCACTCAACAAAAATTTAAGTTTTTTTAATCCTACTTTACCAAGTTTAAAAATACTCATGGACAATAACATATACACATGTATTCCTCCCTCACTATCAGAGAGAACTCTTGGCGAGGATTCGAATCGACCTAGCCAGAGCACGTCGAGAGAGAACCTACCCCTGCCTCGTCGTCTCGAGGGTAGAAGAAAAGAGACGAACCTATAGAGGAGGAGAGATTGGGGTGAGGGGGCGTGTCATTGCAGTTCTGGCACAGCTGTGTCTGCAGCTTCCCAAACCAAGGCGTAGTAGAAAGCTTTCTCTCCCTCTCTCCTTTCTCTTTCTCTACCTTTTCTCCCCTCATCTCTTTTCTTTTTTTTACTTTTAAAATAGAACAGCTTTCTTTTCTCTTCTTTTCATTCAAAAAAGTCACCTTCTTTCTCCTTATTTCTCTCTACTCTTCTTTCATTAGTTTCCTTTCTCTTTCCATCTTTTTCTATTCTGCTTTCTAAAATAGTTAGATTTCTTTCTCTGTCTCTCTTTTCCTCTCACGAATAGCATTCTCCAGCTTCGTCTTTGCTCTCCGACACGTAGAACTTTACCATTTCGCCGTCTGGCAAGATAATCTACTCTCTCTTGACTCCACCTACATCTTCGAAGGAGAATCGAGATTCGCTCTTCTCGATCCTCTCGTTTACTTTTTCATGTATCGTTCTCCTTCGTAAAACGGTTTACTCTTAACAATTTTTTTTTTCTTTTTGAAAAGCACTGATGCAGGTGCGGCGGAAAAATAGTAACTCTTTGGATTCTGAGAAGAAAATATTAAGCGAGTCAGTGGGAATGCCAACTTTCTCAGAAATAATGCTTCTATTTTAATGCTTTTCTCTTGTCGGTGAAATTGAGTTCTTTTTTGCACGACCTGGATTAAATGCTAGAAATTTTCTGCGCCTGAAAGAAAAAGTATATTAAGAAAAGATGAATAAAAAAAATATTGTAGCTATACTGAAATTATATAAATTTAGAGATTCTTAAAAATAGTCACTATTATATATATATATAATCTAAATATTATTACAATTAATAAATTTCTTTTTTGAAAATAAATTCCCCTGAACTATTTTTTAAACATATCACACATTTATCATTCACAATATGTATAACAGAAAAGTACCAAGATCTTCTATCTACTTTACCTAAAAATATTCAACAGTAGAATATATCATTCATTGCCATTTTGGAAACAAGTGACCCGTACAATGTAGAACAATCTATCCAAATTTCACACAATATAGAATAATATATCTTCTTGTATTACATTTTCAAGTAAACATATCCCCATAACCAAAATTTCAAATTTATAGTTCCACTTATACTCATATACAAACGAAACAGAATGTTTTCAAAACACGACACGTACCATTTTCCTGGAATAATAAATTCCGTATCACATTTTCTTATTCCAAGAAACGTGTGTATCATTTTTCCAATAAAAATAATAATCGAACCATGGAATTCTTTTCATCGAGCAGGAAGAATGCGTGGCAACAATAGCCGGAAAAAATAAAAAATTTTTTTGTCGGAGATATTATTCCTCGAAATGAAACACGTGTGTCCACGTGAGCGTGGATGCAGGTGCAAATCAGTTGTGGACTCCAATCAGGGACGTTCGAGGGGAAATTAGAATGAACGAGGCCATCGAGGAGGTTGGAAATTAACCGCGGTCTCCGCCATCTGCATAAAGATAGGGGGAGAAAGAAAGTGGGAAGGAGAAGACGATGAGGTCCATCCACGGGGTGGACTAGGAATGGGTCATTAAAGGGAGTCGCGTTTATCAGCATCGTATGCACGCGCTGCTCGTAAATTGTAGTTCTAGACGATTTTGAAGTGGCGGTCGAATCACATGGTTAACGAAGTTTGCTTCGCTTGGCGAAGATGGAGGATTTGCACGGATTTGTGATGTCGTTGGTTGACCCTTTGAACGAAGTTGAAACCTATTTGAAATAGAGGGGAACGTTAGTTAACCTCTATGTACATTCAAAGTGACATCTGCTGTGATTTTCATAGATGTAAAATATCATAGATGTAAATTACATGTGGATGTACTTACTTATGTTTGATGTCGTTGATTGGCCTCTTGAACGAGGTTGAAGTCTGTTTGAATTGGAGGATAACATTGATGAACTTTTGTGCATGTGTTTTCTAAAGTGGGCATTATTAGGTAGAGTATGACGATGTGTTATGATTTTCATAAATGTAAATTATGGGAATGTATATGTTAGATCCAGTTGATTGGTCTCTTGAAGTTGAAGTTTGTTTGAAGTGAAAGAAGACGCTGATTAACTTCAATATTTTCTCAAAGTGATCCCTGTTAGTTATAATATCATGCCGTGTTGAGATCTTTATATAGATTTAAAGCGTGATTGTACATGTTTGATGTCGTTGGTGACTGTTTGATAGAGGTTTGTTTGAAGACAGTTAACATCAATATATTTCCAAAGTAACCTTTCTTAGTTACGGTATTATACTGTATTATGATTTAAATTGTGCGAAATGTATATGTTTGATATTGTTGGTTGATCCTTTGAACGAAAAAATAAATAAATAAATAAATAAATAAATATTAAAATTTTATGAAAAATATAAAATGATCTAAGATCTATCTTCCAATAAAATTAATATTTTATCACTACGTGTAAATATTTCTTTAAAAACAAAACTTACCACAATACGTATCACAGATACGTACAAAAATGGGTAAACTAAGTAATATAACCACACTCTTCCAACATTCTTGTCCAACAACCGATTTCAGTCACTTCCAACCGAGGCTGCAATGAAAATTATGAGAAACAGTAATGCCATGCGGTGGCGAGATATTTTTACGATATTATCAGCGCAACGACGATTCGAATAATTAAACGCCACCGGCATGTAATAACTAACGTGCCGCAACGAGGATCCTTCCTGCCGCTAATAAACTTCGGTGCATAAAGAGGCTACTTATTCGAGCCACCGGAAATTGTTCGAAGACCGACCGATTTTCGTTATGGCGAAGGAATACCTGACGAAATCCGAGGTGGCTCGTCGTAAAAGCGAGTAGAGGCCGAGAAGTATAAAATTGCTTATATTTTATAAAAGTCGAAGTGGTTCGACGTGGTATATACTGTATACAATATTTCTCTCTGAAGAGTTGTATTGGAGGAGAGAGGTAGAAAAAGGAAGGGAAAAAGAGTCTCAGGTGACACACGGTGAGCCAATGTGGGAAAGGAGGGTTGATACGAGATGGAGGGAATGCGTTTTCTCGTGAATAAACAACGTAGTAGTTGGTTCGAGGTAGCATGTTCAAGGAATGGTGAGTTGTGTGCATGTATGTACTATACTGTGGATCGAAAGTTTGAATTTAATATTCTACGGGATGAGGTGATTTGGGAAGTTGAACTGGAATATTGTTACCGAAAATTTTGTTAAATTTCTATGATGAAATTGAAATTTATGTATAAAGGTATCGAATCTCTCTGAAATGAAAACTACAGGAAATTGTATTTGTTGAAAGCAAAAGTTAATACTTATATATGTATTTATATTATGTACCAACATTTATAATAAAATTAAAATATAGATTTTAGTAGATATTATCTGATGAAATTTAAAAATATTATGATAAAAAATAAAATTTTAGACTTGTAATTACATATAAATTTCAATTTGTTGCTAAATTACTTTCATATAATTATATTCATATAATTATATTCATTATAGTCATTAAAGGACAATATTTGTAAAATATTTAATCAAGGGTTAAAGTAAAAATTATTACATTTACTTCAAAATTGAAGTTAAAGAATCATTAAAAAATATAAAGAAATTAAAGTTGATATTTTAATAATATTAATAATAATTATATAATATTATTTAAAACATTAACTTAAATAAATTTATAGCTATCTTCTAATCTTTTAACTTGACTTTTCTCAATTTTAAAATAAATACAATAATTCTTCTAATTATTTCTATTAAATTAAAATATTCTAATAATTTTATTAGCTTAAAAAATTACTCATTAATCGATAAGTAATAGAAAATTCAACATACCATTAAAAACAAATAAAAAAAATAATAAATTATTGTATCCTCGTCTTGGAAGATATGGTACTTTTATTATAGTCACCAATTGACCATATACACAGTATAGAACAAGTCGAACCGTCGCCTCCGAGTCGAAAATGCCGCCGCGTAATTTGATCGAGGCAGGAAACAAAGAGAGGCATTCTTTTACGGGTAGAATAGTGCCACTTCCGATGAATTTATGGCGGTTAGGGCGAGCACGATAAGATTCTCAGAGCGTAATCAAAGTTTCCGCGGTGATTCGAAACGCGGAGGCGTCCGTAGGACCACGCCACGATGCTTATTAGATTCACGGGGCTATTTTCAGCCGTTACGCGGCCGACCAGATGTTTTACGCTCGCGAGGATCGTGACGAGATTGTAGAGAAGGCAAGTGAGAATTTAAAAGAAGATTGAACGAAAAGAAAGAGAAAAAAATTAGGGTAAACGGTCTAATCTTGTTGATTTCAAAAAGGGAATGAATAGCATCGCCGTTTCGTGTATAGAACTTCAATTCTTTCGAGGTTAATTGAACGTTATGCTTCAAAATAATTTTTATGTGGATTTTAGAATTTTTATGATATTTTTAAAGTATTAGATGAGAAATTTACCTACCTAGAAACGAGATTTGAAATTATTGATATTATTTTTAATTCATTTATTACATTTCATATTATTATAACGTTATTTTCGTTGCTAAAAGAAAAAATTCGAAAAGGATTAATGGTAAAATTTACGTAAAATGAATTTTTCTTAATATCTTGGTATAATAATTAAAATGTTTATAATTGTTTTGAATAAATAGATATATCAATTTAT